CTTTATTTTTTATTTTTAGTTTTTTAAAAATAAGATATCGCACTCAGGATATTCACAATACGAGTGCAATTTTTTCAGATACGTTGATAGAAAAGTTAAATAATAGAAAATAATTTTTTTTATTTTAAAATTTAATTTAAAATTTTTAATATAAAATTTTAAATTTTTAATCATTATTATATTTGTTTTAAAGTAATTATTTTTTTAATTTTAAGTTTATTTTAAATTAATTATTATTTTTTTAAGATAAAAAAATATTTTTTTTATTTTAATTTTATCATTATTTATTTGTTTTAATTAATTTTCTTATTTTAACAATTTTACTTTATTTCTTTACCTTTTTTAAAAAATATAAATAAATACATAAACAATTCTCAAATTCTTAATTTAAAAAAAATCCCAAAAACCATAGTTATTATAACAGAGGAGTAAGACGATACCACGGCTCCTATTTCTCTAATAAGTAATCTAACTTTTAATATTTGGTGTCACATTTGCGTTTACTTACAAGGGTTTTTTTCTTTTTTCTTTTTATTTTGTTTTTCAGTCAGACTAGACTGAAAATGTGTTAATAAGTAATCTAAGTTTTATTACTTGGTGACATATATATTTGCGTTTCATATCTACTCCGTCTATTATTTTTAATTACTTTAATTTGATTTTTTGACTTTTTAAATATAAATTTTATATGAAAATTTAATATATTATATAAATAATACTTGAATTGTTTTATCAGATAAATATATTTAATAAGAATTACATATAAAAAAAGATAATTTTAATTATTATTTATATAAGTTGTTGAAAAAGAAAGAAGAAGAAATATTTAGATGAATAAAATTGAATGAATTTAAACTAAAATTATTACTTTATCTACAAGATAAATAAAATTAAAGAATCCTACTTAAGTTAAATTTAAATTTTATATAACAAAAAATCGTTTAAATTAGATCACTTATTCAGAATTCAAACTTTAACTTATTAAATTTTTAATTTAAATTTACAATTAATCTCATTTTAAAAAAGTACTTCTATTGTTCAATCCTACAAATAACAAAAAAAAAAAAATCAATAAATATAAATTTAAAGCAAAACTTCTCACATAACAGGGCAAGGACCAGTAGTTTTATCTATTTATTTTTTCAACAAAGCCACGCGGAACGCAGCATGTCCACTCGTTAAGAAATGCCCTGAGTATTGTTTTGGAAGACGTTTATTAGTTTCTAGATCGTGCTTGGTTTTTTTTCTGCTATTTTCATTTTAGATTCAATTGAACATTAATTTCACATTTTAATTGGAAATTTCAAACTTTAGTTATCGGAAAATCATAATCTTTTACCCAAATTGTTTTGAGAAAAAAAACCTTTATGCGCTTTTCCTGTAGCATGCGGGTATTATAACAGAAAATTTTACTGTATGTATAGTAATTTTTTTTTATTTTTTTTAAAGTACATATAGTCTGTTTATTATAATAGAAATTTTCCTGTAGCATGTGGGTCTTATTATAGAAAGATGAAAGACTAGCTCAGCTTCCACCAATCTTCTTAAGTTACCAAAGTTATTATTCTTAAGTTGTTATTCAACAATCGGAAAATCATGTTCATAAAAGAAAGGTCTATTTAACTTATGTTTTTAGAAAATAAGTTAATAACATAATAAATATATTTTTTAATTAATTTATATAAAAAATTATAAAAATTGATATTTATATTGAAATTATTGACATATAATTAATTTTAATTAGTTAATTGATTAAATAAAAATTAATATTTATACTTTCAATAAAAATTAATTATAAAAAGATATATTAATTACAATTTTAAGAATATAAGTTAAAAAAATTAAAAAAAAATCGAGAAAATCATAATTATTTACCCGAAGTTAGCAATGCATACAGCATATTTTGGTTTCGACTGGGAGGAAGTTTCTGGATCAATTTTCACAAACCTTCAAGAATCTCTATGCTTGACCTACACTGGGTTTTGAAAAACTTGGAAAGATAATGAATTAATGGGTAAAGAAAGGGATCGAAAATAAAATGGTATCAGAGCTTTTTCATTTACACATGGGGATGTGGTATAGAAAGTGGACAAATTCTAGTTTACAGATGAAAATCTTTGCCAAAGATAGTTGTCTATCTGCTTGTCTAGTTTGTTTGTTTGTTTTATTTGTTAATCATAGTCTATCTGCTTTTACGTAATTCATCTGTTTGGTGTTAAAAATCAACTTTACATTAATTTGTGTAAGTTGTGTTAGTCTTATAGTTTCTTTCATATCTAAGATTGCAGTAGAAATCTTCTTGTCTAAAATTTCTTCTAGTGTCAGACTACTAGTGTTAAAAGTCATATAATTTGCTAAAAGTCAACATTTTGTAAATTGCCACCTTTTCCCATCTACGTACTTAATCTTCTTTGTAAGAAATTGCTTGGTCAAAATTAGTTACTATTTAGTCAACATTTGTGGACTATTTTGTCTTTTTGTTAATATCTGGCTTTCTTTTGTATAGCTATCCTTTACTTATTTGCTTTGTCTATCTACGTCAAATAAATACTGTTGATATTATTATCCCGTTACTGTTTTTTGTTACTGTTGATATTATTATCTGTTACTGTTGATATTATTATCCGTTGATATTATCTTTATGAGTTTAGATTATTTAGATCTAGCTATTTCACATC